TCTGCCAATTGCTGTATGCTTTTCTCCATGCCTGGGAACTGTTCCCATCCTGAATCTTGCTCCTTCACACTTCACTATATTTTGTTCTGCTCTGAGTGCTGGGTTAACCAGAATGTCCCTGCCTACCACACTGTTTCATTTGTCTACCACACCACCTTCTTTTCTTCCTCAAATCTTGTTGAAGGACAGGTTAGGGCCTATGAATTAAGCAGCAGATTGAGGATTGCTAGATTCTCAGGAATCCTCATGAAATGAAAAGTGCTTTCCTTCCCCATATAAATTACTGTGAAGATGCTCCATGACTCAAGATGCACTGAGACATAATCTATCTTTTTAACACACTGTCATTTTAGGTTGTTTTTGAAAAATTTTAACACCTTTCAAAGTAAAAAAAATAAATAAAATTGTGCATAGATAATCTCCTCAATTCTCTGCTTATGTAAAATTGTGGAAGGAATGTTAAAGATTTTGAGCAAGTTTTATCTAATTAACAACTAGGACTTAATTACTTCTTTCCTGAAAGATGAACCTCTGGCCGATAATTTTATGAGGATGGTGTGCCTTGAGCAAACCACAGAAAATAGTCTTCTGCCCAAGCTAAAGAAAAAAGAAGTTCCATCATATAGATTGTTGCGAGTTTTGCACATGGGTTGTATTTATAAAAATTCTTTGCTGTCTAGCATAGGCAGGCAACCAAAATTGAAATCAGAGAAAGTAGCAGATGAACTAAGAAAACATCCATGAGTAAATTCTTGCTTCTACATTGTGAGATCTATTTCATGTTCAACCATTTTATTAACCAAGACATTCCCCTCCACCCCATTCCTTTCCTTTTGTACCCCCAGCAATTTAAGGAGATTCTTTCTGTGGATTATCTAATAGCAGGGAAGGTATTGTATTCATGCACCATTATCACTTCTCCTGTCACATGAGATATATTATAAGGGGTTTCAGGCAAAATATTTTGTCTTGGATATAGAAATGAATTACCTATCTATTCTGTGAAAGAAGTGACAAGCTAAACCAGAAACACAGCAGCAAAGACTCATGAAGTTTCCAGACTGGATTCAGCTTAGAATTAAACATTTCTTATGATCTTTATGAATCTGTACTCACAGTGGTGGCTGAATCTTCGTGATCATGTTAACTCTTACAAGGGTGTTTATTTATTGACTTATTTAAAAAAACCCTGAAGCCTGCTGCTGCAGTACTTGTGCGAACAAAAGTGGAAAAATATGGGGAGCCTTAATTCAGAGTGATGTCAGTGAGTACAAGTATCAGGATCAGGTTCTTATGTAGCCCATTTTCATTTTCTGATTGATTTTCCAATTTTGTTTGTTTTATTGTGAGTTTAGAATTGTTATAGTTAGTTTAGAATTGTTATTGTTAGTTTAGAATTTGAGCTAATTTTGACTGGTCAATATTCTTTGCATGGGAAAGTAATTAAATTTTATTAGATCAGTTGTGGTCTCTTACCCCACTTTGTTACCAATGCTCCTTTTTCGATCACAAGAGTGGTGACCTATAGCCTGTGAGTTCAGCAGAAAGCTATTTCTCTGTAAAATTCCACAGGATGGATATAAACCTGAAGTTCCCCCCTCCTCCATTCCACTAATTTGCTTATAGTTCCTTAATTAAAAAAAAAAGTCAATTCAAACAAGACAAAATTACTCAGGATTTAACACACCAATACATATTTTGACATGTAAGTTTATCTTGGGACAAATGCACTTATGTTCTCCTGTTTAGTACCACATGTTGGTTTACATTTCCAAAATAAGTTTGCAAATAAGATTGTCCTTAATGCCATGTGATGCTTCCTAGTCATGAACTGTATTAAAAAGAAAAGGAAGGTAAAAGCACATATGTATGTATATATATATGTAAAAAGATGTACGGGTAAATATATTTTTTAACCTTACATCTTTATATAAATGCAGGTTTATGCAAAGACATATACATAAGTCCCTTGTTTGTAGCCCTTCTTTACAATAATGATTTTAGTCAAAGTTCCAAAATATGGATTTCATTTAGGATTAACCAAACAATTAGTAAGGCAATAGCAATTTACTGTTATAAACATATCAAAAAATATGTCCCTTTTACAATAAACTTAAAATAACGTTTGTAAATAGCAAATGGAATCCAAAATTTTCTAACTGTCTCAGTAAAATGTAATTAGATGCAGGGTTAGGAATTTTAATTCCAAACATTCACCTTTAATGTTGGAACATGGTCCTGAATGAGTTCCTAGACTGTTTAAGTAAATGTGCATACTAACGAGGTTGTAAAACATAGGATTCAATCTTGTTAACATTCCCTTCTAGAATTATGACATTGGAAGAACTTGACTTCAGAAGGAAAAAGGGGATTATATAAAATGATTATTTATCTTCCTCTATTTCATGCATTTTTACACTGTTGTGAATGACTATGTCCTTAGAGTAAGAAATTATATAATGAGTGAGATAAAAATACTGGAATAACTCAATGCATTCTATACTAAAAATTGAGTTTCTAGGGCAACTTGATCAAGAAAAGCATGAAAAAATACCAAGAAATAAGGTATTTTTAAAGTGATACTGCCAGGGAGGAATTTCGAACAAATTTGCAGTCAAGTGAGGCTCATGACTAATAGCTGTCCAAGGCTTGCTCCAGACCCTTTTTGCTTTAGGTCTGTGAAGCTTAAAGAAAGAGGCAATTTTTAAAGAGGTTCAAGGGAAATATTTCTCTGTGCGGATATGCAGGCTAAGCCAGCCAACTGTGCAGCTACAACTGGGGGCTTTGAATGTGAAGTGCCTGCGGAGACCAGCCACCAGCTGTGTATATCTACCTCCTCCAGCATCACACACAGCACAGAGGAGTGACTTTTTCCAGACAGGAACACTTTTGACTCTTATGCAACTTGGGATCAGCAGTGGGCAGTGGGGTGCACTCAACACACTAATAAACTCCTGATGTCAGATCCACCCTAAATCTCCCGCTTCAGGGAGTGAAGAACTTCATGAGCAAAGAGCAGATCAGGGACAGGCAACATGCAGCAGCATGTTGGACCTGCCCCTTGCCTCCAAAACCACCTCACTGCTCCCCCTCCAGCCTACCTAGTCCCTCAGACCCACAGAGGGGAGGGCAGAGGTGGAGGTGCCAAGAGGCAGAGGATGAGGGAAGAGGAGGAGGAAGAAGGTGGAGCGAGCCAGCCTTGGCAAGCCAAAGTTGCTAAATGCTGTGTTCAGATGGTCAGATTTTTTTCACAGATTTGCTCTCCTTGCCCTTTGTCCTCTATCTTATTTTGGGACAGTTAATTACTCACATGTGTGCAGACAGTTTTCAACCTTATACTGCTAAAGATTATCCTTGTATTTTTTTTAGACTAATATTCCAGAGTCACTCAGAGTTCTAATCCCACTGTCCTGAGCGACCAAGCCCTTTCATGGGTTGCTTTCTTTCCATACCTTGTTTCACAAAGGCAAATGTGATACAAGTGATACAAGTCTAATTTATGTCTTTTTTAGAAAAATAATCCCCTTTTGTTTCTCCAAATGGTACTGAAACGTGAAGTTAATACAAGTACACAAAGATAATGAAGGGTGTTTCTGCCAAGGTCTGTGCTGCCTCATTTGTGCCTCATGCAGAGTGTTGAACTAAGTAAAAACTTCATCTGCATCAAATGTAGTGAACTTAACTGACTTCCTTGAAGATTTATAAATGAGAGGCCAGTGAGCCAGGCTGTGAGGTTGCTTGGAGAAATTCCCCAGTCATTCTGGCACCAGGCACAGGAGATGCAGCTGATCAGTAAATTCCAAATCACTTGATTTCATTTTCTCTGGAAGATTATCAATCAGAGTCTAGTATACAAATAAACAACTGCCATGCAGATCCAAACTTCAAACATAAGAAAAACAAGGGAGTAAAAGATTTGCACATATCTTGAGCACCATTTTCCAAGAAATCCCTCAGAAGTAACTCTGTCTCAGAGAAGGTTATTAAGAAAGAAAAAAAAGCAATCTAAAGGTCCTTCATTTCATCTCATACAAAATACCATATGTTTTTGCATGCTTCATTAATGCTTCCTGGTTTACTGTCCAGAAACACACAGTGAGTTCAACCTTCAGGGGTCAGCAGTGCTCAGCACATCTATGAACTGAGCTTTAAGTGATTGTGGGGACTATTGAGTAAGGGCTGACTGCTGAATATTAATCCTGTAGTTTTAGGTTGGACCCTTTGGATTCTGAAGACCAGCTAAGTTCATATCATTCCCCATCTTGCAAGTACCACTAATCACCTGTACAGTGCTCTTCTCAGAAATAAAATAGTATTTCGTTCAGAGAGTGCACATGGAGATTATTCTTGTAAATAGAGTTGCTAGACTGCAAAACTCTCTGTTTACTCATAGTTTTGAAATCAGATAAATACAGTAGCCTTTTCTGAGCTTTCTAGTGCAGAAAGTCCTGTGTCTTATGAGTGAAAATATTCATTTTCCTGAAAGCCTGTCTGACTATCAGACTATCTGCACACAGTTTGAAATTAAATTCGCTAAATGCAGCAGTTTCTGTGGCTGCACTGAAATGCAAGCAGTATAAAGAGAGGTTGCTGCTTCGCTGTCTCATTTTTATGCCCAGTGGTCTTTCATAGACTGTTCTGTCTGAATTTGAGTATTAGTAGATTACCTTCAAATTACAGTAAATTAGAGCTCAGGATTTACTTACAGTGTCATACCTTACTCCACTAGAAGCCTAACAATTTAAATGTAAGGGAGCACAATCTTCATAGTTTTGCTCTGTCTTGAGAATGTGCTGTTTATGGACTCTTTTTAGCATACTTAGGCACACATGCATGCAAAGCCAAGAGGTTGAAGTGAAATGATTCAAACAATGTTACAGCATTATTGCTATTCCAGGCTTTCTTATTCTTGTTAAATGACAGTGGATTGAATAAAAAGGGATAAGAAATGGGATGGATATGAAAATATAATGATGGTAGTATAATAAATTAATGCTTACCATTTCCTGAGTGTTTGCAAAATCTGTCTCTTTCGAGCTACACTGCACCAAAAGCATTATAATATTAATCAGAACAATACAAAGGAATATATATTTGTATCAAAATCTACCTAGAGAAATGATCATTCCTGTTCCCTAAAAACAAAACCAAAATAAAAAAAAATAGGAGGATATTTTTGTCTCATTGAAACAGTACACAATACACTGCTAATGCTTCTGCATATACAAAGAGGTGTGTTTATATCTGGTTAAAAATACAGCCTGAGCCTTAGCACATTGTCTTGCATGTACAATTTTATTGCATGCACAGTTTTATTGCATGCAGAATAAACTACTCTATCTAACTAAGAATCACAGCCATAACCCTCAGTGTACTTTTATTTGACCTCAAATGAACATAAAAAAGGAGTTCATAGAGCAGCCATTTCTTCGCTATTTCTGCAGCATCTCTCAAGGCACTGGCAGTGCAGTCTCAGTGTAGAACGTGTTAGTGCTTCTGAAACATGTTATTAGAGTAAGTCTTGAACTGAACTTGACTTTGTTTTATGTTTAATGACAGGATGTCAAAAATATTTTCATCTGTATTAATATAGTTGCTGTAATGAAAATACTTTAAGTCATTTATTGTTTTGATCCCATGCAGTTAGTCACACCATCCAGTCTATAAGTACTGATTCTTGTGTACACTGCAATCCGTCTCTCACCCCTGTCACACCTAGGTGACTTACCACAAGGGAGTAACATATCTTGAATCCAGGTTTAGCCACAAAATAATCATCAGATTTGAAGGTTATCTTTATGTGATTTGTTCTTGATGTTATTCTTGGAGGTATTTCCTTGTGTCCACACCACCGTCCTCGTATAACTGTGCTGGTCTCCGATACATCTTCTACTTCCACAAAGTCATACCTGAAAACCAGTAGGAAGAATTAGTTTTTGCTAACTCTGGTTACAGAGGGCGGTTGCAAATTAATGGGAAGGAGCACAGCTGGAGACACAAAGACAAGTGTCCCCTGTTTTCCACTCCAAAACATCAGACTAAATATCACAAATGGTGGGCCATGCTTGTACAGCACAAAATACACTAATCTGAAAGCTACTGCCTGAGTACTCAAATGAGTGATTTCTGGGCTCCTGGAACATGACAGACAGTATTTTCTAACACATTAAAATAGCAATGAGAGGCACTTGCATGTGCTTAGTATACAGTAAGCATACACTTTGTGTTTCATGTGGTGGGTAAATAATTTAGAAACCTGATAAAATATTATTTAAGGCAGGCTCCCAAGCTGAGCAGCTGCAAGCACTTGTGTACTTTCTGGTGGTCACCCAAATCTCTACAGCAGCAGACAAGTATCCCACCTGCTGTGTCAGTCACAGGGCTGGAGCTGGGTGGCCACTGTGCCAGGAGCAAAGGGATATGCTGGAAGGACACAGGGCAGTGCGCGCTGCTGAAAGGTGCTTTTTAGCACCTTCCTTGTAGGTGGCACAGCGCTCCTGTAGGTGGTTTGAAAAGACTTATATCAAGCTTTCAAGCAGAAAAGTATGCTGGCTCTCTGTGTGCTGTGGTGGGGACTCCGTTGTTCACATGGATGCTGTCACCAGGGAAAATACAACAGCATGTCTTGTCCTGTGCAAGGTCACAACTTAGCCAGGCACCTGGGGCACAGCAGTGGCACCCTGAGGCCAAAGAGGGATCTGACAGGAGCAGCAGGCACTACCCCCACCAATAAGGGGATACAGTAGCAGCACTTGCTGCCCCAGTTTTTGTATTCACTCGCTTGGGTCATTTATTGAATTCATTTATTGGTCTGGAGAATAAAGAAGGCAGAGAATAAAGTTCTGATTTTACTACATCTATGACAAAAACAGTTTCTCAGTATCAGTGAAGCCAGAATTAGGCTCCACACATTGCAGCCGGTGAGAGAGAGGTGATGACAAGAGGGGCAGGTTGAGCACCATCCTGATGGTGCAATTGAGCCTTAAAATTTTGGCGATCTTTACCAGGAAAGTTTTCTATTATCAGAGCGTCACCCTCAAAGAGGGAGTTTAAGACTGCTAACTGATTCTTGCTAGCAATGCGCTCCTCCCTGCCCCGGGCCTGTGGGCCAAGCACCCTCTTCCCTGCCCAGTTGTGGGAGCTGAATAGCACTGTAAATAACAGACCTGCTTTTCTTTTTCTGCTGAGAGCCCATGAGAAAAAACCCACAAGTACTGTGCAGTTTGAGAATATCAGCACTGCTTCTTTTATATTCACCAACCCCAAATTGCACAGAACAGAAAATAACAGATTCACGATGAGCAAATCACTTCCATCTGCCCAAACTCTGCTGAAACATTCTTTTTTTGTAACACGCCAAAATTTAGTTCCAGGCAGAGGTAGACTTGTCTCAATCTCTCCCCCCCCCCCCCCCCCCCCCCGTCCTCAGCTCCCACTCCCTCATGGTGATGGATGTGGTACCAGCAGAGCTCTGTGCTGCCCACAAGAGCATCCGCCACTGCCCCCCAGGCAGCACGGCAGCCGTAAATGTCTATTGTAACATAGGGGGGTGCAGTGTTCAGCATGAGATAACCTTGTAAGCTTTGGTGAAAGCTGTCCTGACTGGCCCCCCCACTCTTTGAGGCCAGAAGCCAGAATAACTGGTAGCAAAAACATGAAAATCCATGGACTTTTAAGGATTATTTCTGCTTTCAACAACAGAGGCTTTGTTGCAACAATCATGGAAGTAGGTATATTCTCGGTTGTTTCTGTGCATCCAAGGAGCCTCAGAGGCTGGGTGATTTAATTGCTTTTCAGAATCATCTCTTATCAAGTGCCTGTGGAAATGCTAACAGAATTTCTAGAAAATTCCGTAAAACCTTGAATATTTACCCTCCTTCTTCAGAAGCTCAGAAGAAATATAGCTCTGCTAAAATATACCTTTTCATTCTGCAGCCTGAGTGAATTTCAATCAGTTCAGTCTTAATCGTATGCAAATTACAATAATTAGCATTAATGAAAAATTGAAAGAAAATACTAGGATGTTTCTGGAGAAAAAAAGCATAAGGTCAAAAGCAAATACAAAAGCAAGGTAATGTGCAGAGGTCCTGAATTACTTGTCCAGTATGCACAGCCTTCAAGCATATGCTTATCTCCAAGCATTCATTTCAATTAAACCACGCCTGGCTGTCTCACTAAAGCAGCGCTGCAGGGATTGTCAGGGACTGAAGTTGCAGAAAGGATCTAGTGTTGAAAAATATATTGAGCATTAGCAAAAAATCTAACTGCACACAGTACTTAATAGGTTTAAAGACATCACAAGCTGTCTGTCCAAGAAATTCCTCACTCTGGAAGTAATACTATCCAAATAAAGGTCTTCCAGAAACTAGAGAAAGCTTTATTGCAGAAAAGGATGTGATATTTCTCCAGCTTCTATAGACACTTTTGATGATTTAAGGTCTTGGCTTCTCTCTGCATCCTAAATTAGCTGCTCTGGAAAAAGCAGGTAGACTGTCTTCCAAGATGGTCTCCAAATCCATAATGCCAGTAACAGCTTGACTTTCCCTCTCTGCGCCACCACTTTTTCTGGCTTTTGACAGAGAATACTTCATCTTTTTTTCCACAGTAAATTAGCCCTCTGTTTTAAAGTTGCAATGCTTTAAGGTCAGCCACAGTTTATCCACTATGTAAATATTAACAGGCTGCTTCTGTGTGCATTAGGCTCTGAATCTGGGAAAACATTTGGGGTACTAGGAGGTAACTATTGTTACTGACTCTGCTGCTGATCTTGGACCAACAGCACCAGAGCATAGCAGACCTGCCAGGGAGCAGGGAAGGAGAGCCGGTTTTAAGCTGCATTCTTTTATTACTAAATCAAAAACAAACCTGCAGGAATGGTTCTCTTTATTGGTGATGCAGAAAATTTAACAAAGAAAAAAGAGGGAAAAAAATACACCCTGTAAAACCCCTGCAGAGCTGTCAAACCCTATGAACACAAATTAATTGACAAAGAAGATAAGAAGAGGCTGGATGTGCAGAAACCCTAACAACCCAGTTCTCTGCACAGATAAGCTGTAAGTAACAACATGATCAGGTAGAGTTGGAAACTGAGACTTGAGCATTTTATGTAAGTAGCATCACAGCAATCTGCCTTTTGGAGCACACAGGAATCCTGAGCCTGCTCTCTCCCACAGAACAGATAGACAAATAAAAGAAATATAAACAAAAACTCAATGGATTTACACCGTTTTAGTGAATTTTAGCAAGATTCATGTCTGTACTCTGCTAATGTCAAGAAGTTTATCCATCTAGGTTAATTAGCCGGATCAACTGAGCTTAAGGTCACTTTTGCTTAAAAGGGGAACCAAAGCAACTGGGATATAGTAGGGTATACATAAATAGATAAATAAATATATAAGTATGCACCAGTACACTGACGTTTGTGGACTATATTTAAAGGTTTTAAAAGAAACTGTACCACTGAAGAGGAACAATAAAGACAGGAAGTAATTTGAAGAACATACTTATATTTTTTAATGCATTTTTATTTGTTCCTCACACCCCAACATAAACACTTACCTATTTATTCACACCTCCCAGAGCCTTCCACCCACTGAAAAAGATGTTTTTTGCCTAGCTGAAACATGACAGAGGTGACAGAGGACAAAATCCTATTAAAGTGGTATCTATGTTGTTAGGTTGTTGGATTTGAGCATACAAGTACCTTGTGCTTAAAATATTATAGAAGGATTAAAACCTATCAAAACCGCTTCAGGTCCAGGAAAGCTCAGTTTATTTACAAACTTAAAGACCAATTTCAGTCAAAAGGGGATGCTTGGAGGTCTATCCTTCATGCAAGGACAACCTAGACCTGGCCAGAGATGCCCGGGTTTTGGTTTGCGGCCTCATGCCAGTGAGCTAGAAGGTGGTATTAAGGAGACCTTTGCAAACTTCCACTTGCCACTCACCTGCAGATGTCATTTTCAGGTTCCTCCAGTCCAAACTGATTATCAAAAGCCAGATGGATCCTGGTGCTCTCCGGGGAGTGGAGCCGCCACGTCAGCAGGAGGTTCCTGGGGTAGCTGCTGGGGAAGCGAGGACTGTGGATGCAGCCATTCCCTGCCACGCTGATGGTCTCTTCTTTTCGGTACAAGTCTGTGAGGTGATTGCTCTCTGTTAGTAGTCACAACTTGTAGAAATTAGTATGTTGTTCCAGTTACAGGAAGGCAAAAAACACAACAGGTTATAACACAGCAACAATTATTTGCATTTAAAGTCTTTAAAAAGTTGGATCTAGAAGCAGTTTTATTAGATAGGAAGTACAGTGTATTTTCTCTTAATTCAGTCCTGTATAAACAGTAAGAACAACAGAACTCAAGTATACGGACTCTTTATTTACAAGAAATATATCATTACTTTTACATTTATATTGATTATATAATTTCATTCTCACCACTTTGATTTTAAAACAGAATTAAACTTTAATAAATGCTGCAAGCTTGAGAACAATGAAGTATGACAGACTGAAGAAAAAAGACAAACAACCCTGCTTCCCAAATTTGGTGCTTTGGGGAGAAATGCCCTCTGAACAAAAACATCAATAAAGAGCTGCAAGAAAGTGCATATGAGTGAATTTAAGTTTGTTTACTGTGCTTAAGTATTTCCTCCCAAAAACATTTGTTAGGCCATTTTATGTATATGGTGTGAATCATTTGCTGCTAATGGATGATTAACACAACCAGCTATTCCATGCTTAAACTGATGTAACTGAGGTCAGATTCTGTCCCAACAACCACCTTACTGAGTAACTTCAAGACAAATAGCCAAGTCTTTATTTAATTAAAATTCCACAGCTTCTGCCTGAGCAAATATTCAATTGTTCCTAAAGTTTTAGTTCTACTGAGGTAAAGCCTTTGCTGCTGTAAATCCCTGGCTCCAAGGATAACAGGAACTGTGGCAAGACCCAGCTCTCTAAAAGTCAAAATTCCTTCTCAGTTGCACCATGCACTTGCATTGTCCAACTGTTTCTGATACTGGAATTTGGCTTCTAGCATCAAAGAACTGCAAACAACCATTTTTCTGTGCCTCAACAACTTCAGTGTGGGAAATTTTGAGGATCAGAAGGCTCCAAGACAACATGCGGATCACAGCAGGTTTCAGTTCCCAGTCATGGAATCACAGAATCACTGAATATACCGTGGAAGAGTCCCACAAGGATAATCAAGTCCAACTCTTAGCCCTGCACAGGACCATTCCCAAGAGTCACACCATGTGCCCGAGAGTATTGTCCAAATGCATCTTGAAATCTGTCAGGCTTGGTGCTGTGACCACTTCCCTGGGGAGCCAAGACACTCAGCTCTGAGCCTCCACCGGTGGGACAGCTATCTGTGTTCCTTCCCCAGGTGATGTGTGGGAATCTAGGGCTCAGTTCAGTCACTCACAGAGAGATGTCTAACACCCTTTAAGACATAGTACATTTTCCTGTCTGGCCTCCATGAGGACAAGGAGGTCCAGCAGCACATCCAGCAGCCCCCAGCAAAGGTGGAAGCTGTGGTGTCTCACAAAGTCACCTGCACGTGGGCAATCTGAGCCCCTTCTCAACACAGACTGTAGGAGTTACACACAGTCAGTCACCCAACTGCATTGACCAAGTTTCTACTTACTACATGAACTTGGACACTGCTTTCATGTAAACACCTAAACTCTGGTGTCTTTATCTTAAACTGAACATCACTCCAGTCCTCTGCTGAATGCCAGATCAACCTCCAGTTCCACTACAAGCAACAGAAATAGAAAATTGGTGCCTTCTCCTGAATTTGGCTGATGAGGAAGAGCAAATGGGGGAAAAGTATCTCCCAGCAAGTTGCTCTGTGAATGTTGGAAATACAAAACCAACGTAAGCAACCAGTGGCAGCCATCTGTCGCACACAGTAATCTAAGTTTTCACTCTTAAAATACAATCTAACATTTGACTGAAGTTTTCCAAGTTCTTTATATAAAATAAATATATTTTTTTCATAAAACACTTATTAAAAACAGGAACCCAGAGAAATGGTACAAACTTCATGGTAAGTACATCTATTTTTTCAGGTTGCTTTTCACTGGTTCCTTGCTGTAAATACTTTCCTGCACGCAGCTGTAAGCAAAGCGTGGTTGCGTGTCAGCAGTTCATTGTACTCTTCTGACAGGGCAATAATTCTAGCCTCCAAACAACCTGAAACTTAGATGATAAAAGTCTTTGTTTCCTGTAAAACTATCTCCAAAGACCTAATTGTAACATCAGTCTAAGATGCTTTCACACTGAGCCAGCCTTTCTAAGCAAATACAGACCTAGCTCACAAAGTGCAGACCTAGCCAGTTTTGTTTTGTTCTATTTTGACCAAACAATTTGCATTGGAAAAGTGACAATTTGGTGAAAATAAAGACCACCCACCTATTAATTTTGTTGCAATTTTCATCAGGGACATCTATGCTGGAATCTGTTTTTCATTTTATTTTATTCTAAAAAAAAGGGGAAAAAGACAACTGTGGGTTTTTTTTTCCCCTAATTTGGAATGAAACAAAATGTCCAGCCAACACTACGGAGTTCCTACTAAAATGCTGAGGACCTTTGGACTTTAAAAACACCCAGTCTACTGAGAGGAAAAGATATTTCACAGGACTATATGCAAAATGTCCAAGAAAAGGGATAAAAATAAACCAGTTTTGATGATACCAAATTCCGCACTTTTTAGTGAAGCAACCGTTCCCTAAGTCAGAATAAAAGTTACTGCAGTAAAACATGGCATAACTCATCCTATGCCTTAGAGTTCTTTACTCTCTTTTCTTGGACAGCAAACTCTTGCCATTTTCCCTCTATCACCATGCATTTCACTTCGTAGGTCAATGTGATTCATGCTTCTGAGGGAAAGGTTTCCTTTTCCCAGACAGTCCTAGCACAGGCTTTACCCTGCTGAGATTCTGGGGGACAGTATCTCTAAAACGTGCTCATACATATACCCCCAAACAAAACATCTGTGCACTTAACTCAGCACACCAGCTGAGAATGCACACTACTGCACTCTTGTACACCAAGAAGATAGGGTCTGTGACGGCTCTTAATTTAACTTAAACTCTGAATTTCACAGACTGTGGTGCTCTGCCAGGAAGTCAATCACACCTGACCAAGGCTAATGATGAAATGTCATGGCTGAAGCAGCTCTGCAGTATCTGAGTTGAACAGGTACATGAAGCAATAGAGCTGCACATGTTACAAAGCTTAAAAATCAAAGCACAGTGACTTATTATTTCTATTATGGTAATACAGGAATTATAAAGTTATCCTAGAGGAAAGGTTGGAGAGAATCATGGGAAGGAAATTCTCACTATAGTAAAGTAAGAGATATCCAAATATTGCACTCTGAGGACATGCCTTTTCCACGAGGGAAGAACATATGTTTCATGAGAAAGGCCATAAATACTGTTTCTATAGCCCACATGAGATGAAATCTAAAGCTACTCAGTGCCTTCACTTGACACTGGAGCAGACTCTTCAGGAGCTTGATTCCCTCTCACCTCCCTCACCTTGTGCTAGATTACGACCTGAAGTGGTGTGGCCAGCACTGGAACCAAATACGCTATAATTTTCTAAGGGGATTTTCACTGGGATTTTGCAGAGTTATCTGGTTTAGAAGACACAGGAACACAGTCAACATAAACTTGCTCTCATGAGGTTGGTCTCATGAATCATCAAGCATCTGGGAAACAGCTTGAGGAGACGTGAGCAACTCCTGTACTTCTTGTATCAACAAAGATATGGGACTAAAATAAGACTTTTCCAAGCAGACAAGCATTGCCCTCATCAGATACACTGGGGGAAGTCATGGAAATTACAAACTAGGCAAGGGGAAAGTCAGGATAAAAAAAACTTGAGAAAAGGTATAAACAAAGGAAAAGACAGTGAAGACAGTGTGTCTTTCAAGGCACTGAACTGCCCCATGTTGCAATGCAATGTAATGAAGTATTACACAGTATCCTGAATGTCACATACTAACTGTATTCTATAATGCTTTATGGGAGTAAATAAAAGACGACAGTGCATAATACACTGCCTGTAACATTTACTAAAAAACATTTAAAATTATTTCACAATGAATAAAAGCAGGTGTTAAGTCACAAGGCAAAAAGGCCATTTGGGCCATACACAGAAGGAGGATATTCTCGATGGCAGGAGCCACAAAGACATCCTTGCACTGGGGGAGGAAAACTATCTCATAAGGAAGATGAGTGGGAGGGAATCTGGAAGACATCCTTTTAGGTGAGGCAATTCCCTGAAGAGTCTGAACTGACTGGAAAGAAACTTGCTCTATATTTTATTTATCTGAACTAATCTCTCTTTTTTGCCTCGTAATTCTTTCTCAACCACTAATTTTAAATGTAATGACATACAGGATAGTCCAGCTGTCGAAGTCAGAGGAGCTGTCATTTAAGCACTCAAGGCAGCTGCATTTTCCGAAGTGCTTGCCTTCCTCCCCCTGCATGGAGGGCAGCTCGGTGTCAGACTGGGAACTGGAAAATATACTTCAATATTTAGAAAACTGTGCTTGTCTCAAGACTGTCCCCACCATGGGTGCCCAGCACATCCAATGTTTCCCCATCCCAGCTAGGCCATGCTGCATGAGCAAGATTCTTGTGTTTTCTCTGGATGCCTGCATTTGCTTGTAAGCTTTAGCAATGTATTGACACATTCCTCTTAAAGCTACTCCTAGTGATGACATGCCTACTACAGAAAGATGTTTGCTTGTATCATCATCATTGAACAGATAGTGGATTCCTTCACTAAAACAATAATAATAATAATATTTTAAAAAAAGGCAATTTCTACTTGCTAATAGCTAATCTGACATCTGTTCTACAATATATTCAGCAAGGAGAGTCTATAAGTATCAATTCCTTTAGAAAGAAGAAGAATTCAGAGAATGGCCTTGTCTAAGGACCTAACCAACAATATGGAATACTTAATTCCACTTTTCTAAGGTTTTCGAATTTCAGCCTCGCTTCCTAAGGTGTTGTCTTGTGTATAAGTTTGCTGCTGTCTTTCTTCCCTGTGCAGAAGTGGTTGGCCAACCAACTTTGATACAGTGGCAAAGGCTGAAAAGATACCATACTCTGACTTGGTTTATGAGAATTAATTC